GACAACAGACTCACTAGCGAATATCTACGCAAGACCATGTTTCTCTGCTTGCAACACAAATCAACTTGAGCACACTGACTTTGGATTGTCTAATCTTGGTAGCTGATACTGGGTCCACAAGGCTTGTCATGTCAAACACCTCCGACCTCTTAATGATGTCAAGGCACAGGTTCTGACAGCACGCTGAGCAACGAAGAGCTATGCAACGCAGCCTGAACCCACAGTGGGTGACTGATTTGCGCTATGCTCCAGAAAAGCTGGACCCGAGCAAAACGCTACCCGCAAAAAAATAACCCATGCCCAGACGCTCCCAACTTAAGTTTCGGGCCCTCGGGCCCTCGTGGGCTCTTGCGGGCCCTCACGGGCCCTCGCGGACCCTCGCTATCCGACGGTTATCCTACGTTTATCCGACAGCTATCCGACGGTTGTTTGGGCACCGGGGGCCCATGAGGGCCCCGTATCCGACAAACAGGCCGGTCCCTTTTTAGGAGGGCCGGACCCTCCCTAGGAGGGCCCACGAGCGTCTAGGTGACCATGTCTCTGGATTCCTAGTCCAGCATCTTTTGCCGCAGAGTTGCAGCCGTTCACCACTGTTTCGGGCCTTTCCTGCCAGCTTGGTTCAGGACCCAAATCGGCTTTTGTGATGGACTCGTTGCAAAGCTGCCACAGCACCCGTTGGGGTCGAAGTCTGTTTCGGGATCGGCGGAAGCAGGGTGCAAAGTTTCCGGTGGTGCACCCGGCTGTCAATTCTAAGGGAAACACCCTCAAAACGGGGAAACCCAAACGAGGGTGGCTTCTCAAAAAAGAGATACGCTTCAAATGACGCAGCTTCCCCAGCTATTCGCCATTGTTACCAGTTGAAATTGCAAGCTTGCTCATTGTTGTAGCGAAGGCCCAAAAAGTTGCAAACTCTCCTGGCCAGTCAATTCAGCGAGTATGTGCAGGTCAGTATTGAATAAGAAGGGGTGTATTCATGATGAAGTGGCTCTTCAGCAGCCCAATTGTCCAAGCTGAAGAAACGGATCCCTTGACCAACCAGCCATATCTTGATTGGGAGCAAAATCCATGTCTGCATATTATGTCTACCAATAGGTGCACGCTCAAATTTGCTCGATCCGGTTATTCATTTTCCAGGCCTGCGCGACGTCCAACGAATGCCTCCCCAGTCGCCTTGGGAACGTGGAAACGAGCGCTGTCCAGCCTTGCTACTGAGGCTGCTACTGGCAAATGAGGTTCTTGTCGTTCCAAAGCAGTGTGAAAATTGCGGGCTTTTCCACTGTTTACTTTTCCACAAAGCGTGCAGCAAAAAGAAGGGTCCCTTTGTTGGGGTACGCACCGTCCAATAGGCGCGGGATGTGTTTACTGAAGCCTTTGCCGGCCTCTGCTAAATAGGGGTAAAAGGTGATCAAACAGCCACTGGATCCTGCACCACTGGAAGAGGTCAAAAGGTCTCACTGTCTGCACACGCGACCTGAAGGTTGAGTTCGGAAGAGCCAAGGATGCATTGACATTGACGTTGGAAGACTACTGGTCCATGCCCACCAGCCGTCCATGTGCAGAAGCTGCCACCATCGGTTTCGGGAATATTGCAGATTCCCCAAAACTGTTTCGAAGAACTTCTGGGCAATCGCAATCAATAGCTCCGGGCGTGATCCTATCATGCAGGGCGGCAAGTCATAAAGGACCTTGATCTCAAAACCTGCTCGTCTTGCTCAGGTGCACCAGTCAAGTTGCATTTGGCATGCCACACAATCACCCCGAGTCCTCAATCAACAGCGCAGGGGAAAACTGCTTGCCATGCGTTCGTGAAATTCCAGAGAAGGACATTCCCCCGCCCCCAAAGAATGGGAAATACCACAAGCAAATGACGATCGCTCCAGGCTTCAAAGCTCAGTCTCACAAGAGACGATCCGTCTTCCAACACGTTCAAACAAAAATGCTTGTCTCACTTCCTGAGTGCATTAGCCCCAGGCACATTTGGACTGTCTGCGATCAACCAACAAAAATCCGTCCAACAAGTCTAAAGTGCAGACAACCGGAAACCAACTGTGCTACCAAGTCTCTGATTTTGTTGCAGGAGGCGAACACCTTGGTGTCCTTTTGTAGGGCAATTGCCTGAAGGCGACTGGCGCGGCGCAAAGTGACAAAAAAATGCAACACCCCGGAGCCCTCTCTAGTCAGCAAAACCTAATGCCGGTGCCCCCCAAAGTTGGAACTGCCAGCTGTCCAGCAGCCGATCTGCCGAGTGATGCGCCAGCCGGGACAAATCAAATGTTTTCGCTTCAGCGCCTCCCGTGTCTGCAAGGACCAGCCCGATGAACAGACCTTAGATACAGACGGATTGAACGATCTCCATTCTTCCTGGTGTGATTGTTCCGTTGCGACGAAGACATGAAAAGAGCTGCCTTTGTTCCCGTTGGAGAACCCTGCCGGTTGAGGTGGACTGCAAATCAGTATTGTTTGCTTGGCTTTAAAAGGAAGCCAAACAGAAACCAACTAATTATTTGAGTGTCCCCTGATTTTGACCAAAAACAAAAAAACAAAAACATCGCATCCGTCGCCCCAAGCCTATCACACTTTGACACCCTCTCGCTTGCATCTTCACCTCTCGCCTTGGCGAATAAGGCCCCGGCTGACGCCCAAAATCATCGGAGCAAACATAAATCGTGGGGCACGGAGGTTGAATCTGAGCCAAAAGCCACGGGGCGTCTCTCGAAGTCGTTGGAAACTCTGGGACTCGTGTGCAAGCAGAAGCAGAACCGGCGCGTGAAGCGTCTTCAGATGTGCGCGGCTTAGAGATGGCCCCATGGATAGGCAGTTCGATTCAAGGAACTTCCAAACTCCGAGTCGGTACTAGCCTCTCAATCCAGTCGCACAGTGCAGTGCCAACTTGCCCTAACCTGCCAACTCCAGCAGCGCAAGTCTTAAATTTTGGGATTGTACGCAATCATGCCGAACCAAATAGCCTTACCCTTGTCTCATGCCATGGCAATCATGCCATGAAGTGTTAATGAAACATTCCCTTCCCCTCTCCCTGTTTCTCTCCTTCGCCTTTGTAGTAGTGCTTGCACCTGCACGTTCTTCCGGCAAGGGAGGTGAGCAAACAGACAAAGCCATTCACATGAAAAGTGTTGTCACCTTCAACGACACGCCAAGTACAGTCGTGCAAATGCCTTAGCCAAGATGGAAGCAAGTTGCTGACACATTGCAATCGTCAGCCATCTTGGCAGCAAACGGACAAGAACTGGGTGAGAGCACATGGCAGCTACAAGTAATGTCCGGAAAACGCCTCACATCACTCAATGTGTCCAGAGTTTGCCCTCAAAGTTCGCAGGATGTCTGACATTTGACTTCTGCGCGGCGGCAACTGCACATTACTCAAACAGAAACTGAATGCGCACAAACACCAACACTCTGAGAAACACAAACATCTCTGTCATGAAAACAATATTGAACACAACAAACAAGTAACAATGAACCGAACCAGCCAAACCAAGAAACAAAGAACGAAGAAAAGACAAAGAACCAGCAAACAATAAGGCAATGAGACAAATTAACGCGAACAAAGAAGCAAGCAAGCAAGCAAGCAAGCAAGCAAGCAAGCAGGCAGGCAGGCAGGCAGGCAAGCAAGCAAGCAAGCAAGCAAGCAAGCAAGCAAGCAAGCAAGCAAGCAAGCAAGCAAGCAAGCAAGCAAGCAACCAACAAAAACAAAGTAACAACATAACAAACAAACAACCTACACCAAAAACAAATGACCATCCTCGCAATCAACCAGCCAACCAAACAAACGATGCTAAACAAACAAACAACCAACGCCAGTCACACACACACGAACCAAAACACAAACGCATACACGAACAGACTCGAGTAAGAAAACAGACAACGAACAAACAAAGCTGCAAACACACAGAAACAAAGAAACAAAGAAACAAAGAAGACAGGGAACAAAGATACAAGGTACACAAGGAAGCAAACAGCAAGCACGTACTAAAGCAACTAGAGAAACCAACCCACCCACACACCCAACCAACCAAACAAACAAACACACAGAACAAACACGCACACACGCACACACGCACACACGCACACACGCACACACGCACACACGCATCTCTGTGCTGCATCACACAAAAGAGAAGAACAAATATAAGACGCAAGCGAGACGGCAAAACGCTCAAAACCAAACACGCAAACACACAACACGAGAGCGAGGGCAAAAACAGGCGCACGCATGCGTGCACACGCACCCACACGCTCCCGCAGTCCGGCCGGCGCTGCGGAAGGAACAACGGCAGTGATGGATGAACCGGTCGCACATAACATGGATCAAAACCAGATGTTAATTACCGGGATACAAGCGCGCCCATGAAGACGCTGGCATGCGAGACCAGCTGCCGGATTAAGCCAAGTAAGCCAAGTTGCCCAAGGGGGGGGGTCTGTCGGTTCGGGCTGGCAAGTTGGGTGGCCAGCGAAGCGGGTGATAACACTGAGCCCAAACAATGAGATGGGTTGGCACGGCCACGCACGTTAGCCCAGCAACTACCAAACTTGCGAAGCTGTGGGCAGGAACACGCGTGCGCACGCTGGCAAACCAAGACTGGGCACAGCAGCTTGCGACACCACGCCGCGCGTTGAAAAGCAAGCCGCGACTTACAAGCTGGCCTGGAGCGTCTAGCCTGGCGGTCGGGCGCAGCACATAGATGTTGACTGCGATGGCCTGGCGCAACTTTGACCTGTGGCGCCTGGCAGGTCCTCAGGACCAGAACGCCATACGCGATCTAGCGCGCCCACGCGCCCTCACGTCTCTCTCTCTCTCTCTCTCTCTCTCTCTCTCCACTTTCTTTCTTTCTTTCTTTCTTTCTTTCTTTCTTTCTTTCTTGTTTTCGAGGGAAAGTTGGGAGGCTCTGCAGTCCAAACAGCTCTGAACGACCAGGATTTGGTAGGCTCAAAAGGGGACCCCAAGAAAGGTCGGCATCCAGAAAGGGGTCCCTCAAAAAGCGCACTCACCCATTTGGCAGCACTCTCTCCAAACGTTTCTCAAATTTCCTTAGGAGGTGCACCCTCCTGACATTACTCAGACTTTCACCCTGGGACGACGTGGGACAACCTCGAGTAAGCTGACCAGGGTCCAGCATGATTTGGTTGCTGGAACGCTGGAACATTATTTCAGTGGCCATGGGCAAAGAAGGGCACCTTCTTGGTTGATATTCGAGGGACATCCCTCTCCACAAAACGGGAAACGTGTTCTGGGCCACGGGGGGCTTTTCTCCCAAAGAGCCAAATATGTTTTTCTCAGCTTGCGGCTGTGAGGCCGAGAACAAGCACCTGAGCTGCAAGTGTCGTCTCAAAAGGTTCTGGGAGGGTCTGAGCTGCCTTGTTGGCTTCAAGAGACTGCTTCCTGTTCAGACATATGGGTGTGGGTCAATAATAGGTACACAAAATAGAACCCTGGTCAATGGAGCCAAAAACTAAACCTGCGGTCCCTGGTGGTTTGGCCTGCAATTCCCCAACAATTACCTCAAATGCAATAGAGCTTTACTAAAAGGATTCCTTGGTTCAGGGGGGCACCTGAGCCCTGGAGGCCATGTCTCACCCCATGCACGATGCTCAAGAGTCGGCCTGCAGGAATGGGCCCCAAATATTTGCTTCGTGTCAACCTGCAGTGCTTTGGACAATTTGGACATCGCTCAATGTCTCCAGCATCTTCAGATGCAGAACGTGAATGGAACGTAGCATGTTGTGCTGGATGTTTGTGCCAACCTTTCACGTATTCTCCAGTAGACCTAACATGCTAGAAGCGTTGTTCTTGCTTGTGACATCAAATAGTCAATGCTCTCAAAAACATCATAGCGCCAAGTTAGGAACGAACTCCATTTTGAACTTTCAACTCAAAATCAATCTCCAGGCCATGCATCATGACACGGGGATACATGGAAAACGCGTGACGGGCAAATAATCCAGATGAAAGAACGATTTCGCTACCAACAAGTCAACAATATCCGTATACAACTCAGTCTAAAATAACAAATACTGCAAACAACTGGGCAAAACAGCACACCAAGTAAACAGACATGCGCAAGAGCACACGCAAACAGTATTCAAACAAAAACACACGCGATGCGCAACTCGATGAAACACGGGACAACAAAACAAGTCATCGCCAGCATCATCATCATCATCATCATCATCAACAACAACAACAACAACAGCAAGGTAGACCAAACATGTCGCATCACGTGTGTGTGTGTGTGTTGACACAGACCTCAACATCACCATGACCAACCAGGCAATAGAACTCCGCATACCATCAACGCTGCACTGGCAATGGCTGTACGCACGGCTTGAGAGCTGGTGCAAAACAGGGGGTCTGGAAGAAATATGAAATTATGCATCTCCATTTGCTTTCAGGTCCCGAGCGGGAAAACAACAACTAAAGGACCAAATAACCCCATGCCTATCTGGTTTGAAAGAGCGACCTTTGCTTGATGTGCTTCATAGTGAATATTTCATGATGGTGAGCTAGAAATGAGCGCTAGAAATGAGCGATAGAAATGTTTGTTTGCGGTCAAGCAATTAACTTTATGAGAGCGTTGTGGGCTGCGCCTGCTACGCAAAGCAACAAAGGCGTGCACAAAGTCCCGCGCCAGCCTCGCAATTCAGCGTCAGCATGCGCAAAGTACTGCGCCTGCCACGCAAACATCCCCACGGCGGCCCGTCCGCGCACTAGATCGAGGGAAGGCAGTACGTGAAAGTTAGCAAGTCTAAATGGAGGGACGGAAAGTAGGTGGACGAAAGTCAGTGAGGGTAAGCGGAGTAAGTGAGAGTAATTATGGACTCACATGAGTGAGTAAAGCAAGCATTTGAAATTCGGTGAGTGTACATTGAGGGTATGAAAGTGTGTGGTTGAACGACAGTGAGTACAAGTTGAGTGAGAATAAGCGTGCGGAAGTTGGTGAGTGTAAGTTAAGCGAGTGACAGAACGTACGCGTAAGTTAGTGAGCGTAAGTTGAGTGAGTGAGAGTGCGTGCGCGTGCGTGCGCAAGTTGAGTGAGTGAGATACAGAGCAGGATAACGAGGAGGAGGAGGAGGAGGAGGAGAGGCGTAAACGACGACATTAAAAGCAATCACCCCACAGAAGAATCTGTGGAAGTGTGCTATTTGGGGCTGTGACATTTCAACCTATTTTTCGGGTACCCCTTCCTGGGATTTGGACAAGGACCGCTTGACACAAGAAAGGACATCGATCTGAGCTCGCCGGGCCCACGCCACGATGGCGCGAACGTATCCGCAGCCTGGCGAGGACTTCAACTGAGTCCGGTACTCAACTGGTAGTAAAGAACTAAGGCGGCCGCAGCTATGGTTGGCATTGTCCCTTACTATGCGAAAAGACCTGTTGGAAGTCTGTCGGCTTGAAAAAGAGCTCTGGGCAGCTGTATCCGTATTTGCAATGGGGCAGCGAAAACCATTCATCGGCAACAACAGCAACGCCAAGGACACCAATACCAATACCGACAACGACATTGATGACGACCACGACGACAGCCAACACAAAAACCGGTACCACAGTGGAACCCTGCCAAGTGGAAACCGCAACCCCTCCTGTTTAATTTTGAGCCACACCCATTTGGAGAGGCCTGCCCAATATGGATCCTTGCCGGCAAAACCACCACCGGCAGCAAACTTGGACCTCGCCGAGCTGAAACCAGAGTTATATTGTAGTGGACTCGAAGAAGGCCCCTTGCCGCCTCTGAAAAAAAAAAACGAAACCCGCGCAAAACGAGCATAGGCTCACCGCAAAACGGGCTCTTCTTCATTCTCGCCATGGGCGCACATCCCGGTCAAACTGGCGCTCCGTGGCTGAAGTTGGCTGAAACGAGGTGCCAAGTGTTGGGCTTTGGGGGGGAAACCCCGCAAATGGCGGAATCCCTTTTAATGTCCCTTACAAGAAAGGATACCCTCCAATAAAAGCATTCGAAGTAACGGCTGCCATAACATGGATGGCACATGTTAAAACTGCGGTGGGACTGCACGTATCCCTGGATGTTGGTGATGCGCAACCAAACAGTCGCGGTCGGGACACCGGTGAGTTGTGTCCATCGTCTCAGACCGCCTTTGTTTACAAGGTACACCTGGCGTGGGTGGGCTCCAAGACGTGGGTTGAGAATACAAACTGATCCGCTGCCGCCATATCTCGCATTGAGCCCAAGTCCGCGTCCGTGTTTCCTTACAGGTTTTAGCAAGGACCTAACCCTGGCCGCCTCCTCGCTGTAAGCCAAGTGCATGTCGAGTCTCAGACTTCGAGCCGTTGCAAGTCCGGCGGTTACGTGAATAGTTATTAAACTCCAGCGGCGCTTTGTGCAGACTGCTTGGCGTTTTTGGCGGCCTCTGATCCATTGTCAACAGTCCTGTGGAGTTTGCTTTTTGCTCCCTCAATTGGGGGTGACGGGGGTGGACTTAAGACTTGCAGAGAGTGGTTGTCCACCAGTATCGACCCAGACCCCCAAACTATGGTCTCCATAGTCTGCGCTTGGAAGACACAGCCTGGAGCAAGAGACCCAAACAAAAACAATGCCCAGGGTGGCGTTTGGGAAGGGACACAGTCCATGTCCAACGAAACAAGGGACTCAGCAACTTTACCATGTCGAGTCCATTCGAGTAGCATATTCTGACCATGTCGCATCGGAACGGAACACCATGGAGCCACCCACGCTGTGCGGCGCAGCCGCAGCTTTTTGGCTCAAATGGACGCCGGACCTGCCTAACCTACCGATAGAACGTCCCCACCTTGAGGCGGAGAGGGACCCCTCCCACAATTCCATTTGTCTAGCCCTTCTAAGAGAGAGAATGGGGTGCCAGGAATGAAATTCCAAGAGCTACCCCGCCTCCCCAAACCCGCTTTTACAGGAGTGGGCTCCCCTATTGTTTCAGAAAACCCTTCTGATTTCTCTTTTATAAGGGCCCACTGGAGCGTGGGGTGGGTGACACGCTGCAGCCGGAAGCTTGTCAGAATCCAGACGTGATGTTCGAGCCCTCCGTGTAGCTGTGAAAGGCTGAATGCATGAAACCCGAAGTGAACTTCGCGGATGCCCTTGGTATATTAGAACCTCTGGTTCATGGGTTAGTGCACCGTCGACAGTGGGAGACCAGCCCGGAACGGCACCCAAATTGTCATGAACTCATAAGCGGGTGAATACCCAACAAGCCCTTGAAGCTATGGTCAAGCGCTGCCTCAGCATGTGTCCGGCCCACGCATCCTTTGGGATTGGACTTTGTGTGTCGGAATCTGGTTCTGAGAGAGCCCAAGCTCCGGTACGGAGAAAGCTGCTGCGTCTAACTATGTCCTCGCCCAGCATGCAGCGAGAAGGCCCTTGGGGCACTCGCTAAAACGTCCCGAACAGGGAGCAGCTTCTGCCTTGCCGAGGGATACAGACACACATAGGGAAGCTGTTTACCCTCCAAACTTTTTGTTCAACCCTTTTTCAACCCTTCACCCTTTTTATTTGTCCCTCCCGCCTTCTGTTTAGCCCATCCCTAAGTTCATATACGTACATATCATAAAAATACACGTGTCAGGCCCTCAAAACGGCAGATTTAGAGGACCCAATAGCCTCTCGGGAAGAAAAAATGGGGGGTTGCGGAGAGGGGGGGTTTGCCTCCCAAATCAAGTCCAGGATTGGTTGTGGAGTGGACTCCGCCAAAACTCCGAAAGCCCACCCTAAACCCACCTAAACCTACCCTACATGCACTTCTACAAGACAGTGACACAGCCACATATGTTGACATGAGACACAGCAACTCTAAAGTGGCTGTGCCATTTGAGGGAAGCACCGACCACACTGCAATCAAAACCTGGACAGGTGGGTCCATGAGCTAAACTCGAGTGCTGCGCCTAGCTCCCAGCTGGTAGGAGCCTATCCGAACCCGATAGTGGAACACCTATGGAACCGGACTGACTGATAGCGTTCATCAGGTTTTGATTCGAACACACATCGTGGCTTCGAAATTTACCAGAAAGCCACAAGTGGTTGGTCGGGAATCTCCACGGAACCACCAAAGTGTCCCCATTCAACATTCATACTCGACCCCCGTGTTCGCTGTTCCTTTAAACCAAGCCCAAACTCACCAGAAGCATTGCTTGCTTTTTGGAGCCTCACAGCTTTGAGAACCATGGGAACCGATCTTGCAACATATCCAGGTACATTCTGATCGGGGGTGTGGGGTGTCCCCTTTTAGTGGGGCTGATCACTTTGGGCGGGCCCCCCCTTAATAGGACAGGTTTGCTCATCCAGTGTACCACCAATAGAAGCTTAGGTCAGTATATACCCGAAAAAATAAATAAATACTATAGCGGTATATAACCTCTATACCTCCAATACCCGACAATCTAGAAAACGGCTTGGATGTGGCTTTTGCAAAAGCGCACATACACGGGGAAGCACGGGTGAATTTGACAGAAAGCGCATCCAAACCGTCTTCTACGAAACCCTGGAAGGATGATTCCACTGTATAGATACCACACACAATGGTATTCCACCATCAGTACCTCCAATACCTGATGCCAAGTCGGCCCCGCTGAAGCTCTGCGCACTCGCTATGCTCCGACCCCCGCGCGGCGCCGCAGCTCGAGCGCCTCACGGACTCGTCACCCGAAGGCGTGTCTTTGAGAGAGGCGTCTCCAGGGAATTTGGAGGTGTGGAGCTTAATATGACTTATATAAGGGGTGCATACAAGAATACTACCAGAGTATATCACTTTTCTGGGTGTATATCTTGTATATAAGGGATATGTATATACATGTATATATAAAAGCATATTGTAACGGGTGTACATCACTTACATAAGGGGCATATAATATGTACTTTAAAAGCTTGTGGTGGTATACAAGCATCCATTCCTCCAAAGCCAATACCTCGAAATGACCTTGACCATGGCATTTACCTTGCAACGTCATGTGAGGAGTCGGTCTAGTGGCGATAGGTTCATGCCATAACACTGCCAAAAGATATTCGCTGTTGCCATTGCCAAGCAAACCCCATGACTAGCGATAGCAAGAGTGATAAACGCGGCCATGGGTCAAAATCCCGTACCCCAGTAAACATCCCAATCCCCACTAAAATAGACTAAAATGGGTGGTGCACCTACCCCAAAATGGCACAGCCACATGACATGACAATACACGTCTAGCATCTACTGCATTGCCGATGAACAAAGTAGAAGATTGCCAGCCAATGGGCGTTAGTAGGCTCACAACTGCCTACATTGCCCACTGATCTGCAGATATGAATACAACATCGCAGATAATCCAATGACACGGCAACGCGATCGATTTGACTGCCAATAAGACACCAAGGCTTATGAGTCTGATTGGTGAAACAGAACTTCCATGAAGCCAAGTGCGGTAACTCTGGTTTCGAATTCACAAAACTAAGGGGTGTGCGTGCAATGTCAATCAAAGCGGCCAACCACGCCCCTCCCCCCCGCCGCCGTGGATTTGTCCAGGAATCGACAATGGGACTTGAGCTTGCCCTAGTCGCAGCTCCAACTATGCTAGAGTGTTGCTTCCCTTTCATGTTGCTTTCTCGCTTTGAGACTATTGCGCTGGCAATTCTGGGATTGCAGAAGGTCCAGCCGTTGATATCTGTCGGCAACGGCGAAGTGCAGGGGTTGTCAATCCACGCTGAGGCAGGAGCTAAATTGTAGTCATTTGCCTGGCGCGTGGTTGTCTTTGCCACAAGAGGTCCCTAGTCTCAACCGAAATCAGGAACCAACTGGCGGGGCCCGAAAAAGAAGCAACCATTCGGTGGGGATCGCCACGAACGCCCCGCCCATGTCGTCCCGTTGAACGTGCCCTTCTCACAGGGCATATTGACTCGGCAGCACACGGAAACCAAACGACATTGAACCAAAGGTATAGCGAGAAACACGAGAATCTGGTCGACATCCGCACTTTACATACTCATAACTTGCTAAGTGCAAAGGCAGGGTTGACCAAGGCTCGCGGCAAGCAAAGATGACTTCATCTTCCTTTGCGGGCAACACGAACTGCGACAAAGTACCAAAGCTTGTACATTGAGAAGTGAGCCAGGTGACTCTGATCTGTGGAAGCAAACCAGCCAATCTTCCCGTCCAATCCTTCAAACGGATTTAGGAGACATGAGCCAACGCCTTAGGACCCGGACATGCATTGTGGGCCTTTTGAGGCCAGGCTCGGCTTTGCACAACTTGGATGCTACCTTCCGCTCAGCATCTTTGAACATAAGGCTAGGGCAATGTAGCGTCGTGGAACGAGGCGCCAAAGCGAAAAGGGGACGGGGTTTGGTGTTTGACCTGCAAAGAGTCTACCTGTTTGCTTCAAAAGGATGTGGCTCAAAAGGTTGAGAAGGGGACCGATGGTTAGTCTACTTGTCCAACCGATCGGGTTCCAGGTCGGCTGAGTCGATGGTTCGAGCCACCCCGATCGGTCAAAAGGCCAAAGAGCCTTGCTGGGTACCGGCTGCAGCAGCAATTGCTGCTGGTCCCCCACGTACCGCTGGTGCTTGGCCTATGGAACCGCGGATTGCAACCTGACAAAGGCGCCTTGAAGCCTCCGATGCTACCGAGGACGAGTCCGTAAATGCAAAAAAAAACGTCAAGGATGCAAGACACTTGAGACGTCAAAGATCGCTTTGTGTGGCATCCACTTGTGCTGGCAATTAGTTCGTTGTTCTTGTAGTAGACTCCCAGCAGTTCCCGAAACTGAAACGTAACGCATCGAGCATGAAGGAGGATGGGAAACCGCGCGTTGACGCGACTGTACGAGGCTCCCGCAAAATACCCGCCGATCTCCTCCTTGATCTCCGTGATCTGGGGCATAGGGAGGCCATGGCAACAGGTCTGCACTACCTAAAAATCCAGCAGCTCCCGCCGAGAAAAAACATTGGCAAACCCGCCCACCCGGAGAACAACCATTGCGACATCCAAAAGGCGGATTCTTGCTGGGCGCAGGTCTGGTGAGTTCTGCTTGGCCCAGATCTGCCCATCCAAAGCCTACAGCCATTCACCTGTCATGTTTGCCTTTCAACCATCCCCATTCAGTGGGGATTCTCCAGGGAGAAGCGAGGTCCGCCAAAACCACCAACAAAATCGGACGCAGTTGTTGCTTTCCGTTTTCTTTGCTTGAGGGGGGCTGGAATATTACGTGGGCCAGACTTTCAGGGTCCAATTGTTTCCCTCTACCAACGACCGCCACTTCAATCCGCAGCCTTGGAAGTTTCTGCTGCAGATGGGTCAAGTACCCGTTTTGGGATTGACAAGCTCAGTGCCCCCCCCCTCTGAAAGGCAAAGGCCAATAGCTCCGCAAGCCTTCACTCGCGCCCCTTGCCGCGCCTTACCGTCTTCGTCCGGTATGCGGCTCAAAGTTGAGGTGATCCTGGGAAGGAGCAACTTCAATCCCGGCAGTGTCGAGTGCCATAGTGCCCAGTGGCCACGTAAGGGTCATGTTTTCGATAACATTTGGGAAAAAGGAACCGGCTGGGCATGGGGACATGTCCAGTGCCAAGACTCACTGATTCAATGCTTGTTCCAGCCAGCCGTTTAGTCAGGCTTGTGACCGGGTTCCAGCGACAATCTCCGTCTTCTTCTTGCGCGAACGCTGAAGTGAGGGAAAACAAAGATTCTGCCAAAAAACTTCAAGGTCTCCAACCAATCAGAATCAGAAGCGAGTCAATGGCCTGGTCAAGGCACACCCGTGCCTCTGGAAGGTGCGGCGCGCAAAGACTGGCTCCCTGCCGAACACATTGCGCACGTCGTGCTCGGAAACCACGATGGTTTGGGCGAACATTACGAAGCGAGGCAAACTTGTGTGGGTCTGCCCAAGTCTTCTCGCTCCCAAAACCTGGCATCCCTGCCTTCAGTCCCGTCTGCTTTCTAAGTGGTTCCAAAATGCTACGAATTCTCAAAATGCGCATCCATATATGGTGACAAGAAGCCCGACCAGAACCAGCTTCCGTTCATACGCATCGAGCAAAGCTTCGACCTCACAGTGTTTTACATAATATATGTATATATATTTATATATTTATATATATTTTGGAGGGGGCCTTTAACAACTAAATGATGCCCCTTTAAACTCATTACATTGGGTATGTTATCCACACCAGTTTGGGGGGTGGAAGAGCGCATTTTCCACATCAGTTTGGGGATGCAAGGGCTCATTGTCCACATCATTTTGGAGATGCAAGGGTGCATTTTCCACATCAGTTTGGATGAAACGTGCACATTTTCCACACCAGTTTGGGCGTGCAAGGGCGCATTTGCCACATCAGTTTGGGGATGCGAGGGCGCATTTTCCACATCATTTGGGGATGCAAGGGCGCATTTTTCACATCATTTTGGGGATGCAAGGACGCATTTTCCACATCAGTTTGGGGATGAAAGTGCACATTTTCCACACCAGGTTGGGCATGCAAGGGCGCATGTTCCGCACGAAGCGCCTAAACGCCAATGTGTGCCAGTATGTACCAATGAAACCGCCAGCCTCGATTCGTCAATTAAGAAGATGAGGCTGAGGTGCGCTTGAACAATGTTAGATTGCAAGGTGACACAAACTTGCGCACACTCGCTGCGGATCGACCCACCCCAACAATTTCAATGCAATGGCTGGCCGTCGCCAAGTAGAAACTTCGAGGGATGCAACAATCTGGGTCACCAACCTTCAAAAAAATAACAAAAAACGGTGTCACCAACCTGATATGAAAACATAATATGTGTCACCAACCTTCAACGTGGACCCAAGAAAGGGCACCTGGCCGCAACCTTCTTCCGCCTTTTTCGGTCTTTTTCGGCCTGGTGCTTCGCAGATCCGGCATAGAAGCAGAGCTGCTGAGGCCATGGGCGCCTGAAGCACACAGCGAGTCGGTCTCACGGGGGCGGTCCTTGTGCCTGCCAAGCTTGGGATACCAAGAGGAACCTGAAACACTTGGCTGTGGCTCCAAAAAAAACGGAAATCCAAATGGGTTGCCCGATCGGGAGTGGAAACCTGGACCAAAACCTGCGGTCTGCCCCTCCTGGCTAATTTTGAGCCACACCCACTCGTGGCCATTCCAATGAGGTAGAAGCAGTCTGCCTAAAGGGACTACCCTAGATTCGTCTGGATGGGCTGTGTCAACATGTCCATCAAAATGCATAGCATGCGACACAGCTAGACTCTGCTCCAAGTTCTTCCTCTTTGCATGCAACTGCAAGCTGATGTTACTTCCATTTTCGAACGCATGCTTTCTATTTCTTTCTGGCACGGTGCCTACTGCTAGCATTCAAGCAAACACCAGTATCATTGCAAGCGAGCAACACTTTAGCTCCGATGTTCAGACACCCAAACAGCTTCAAAATATGTTCTGTCTTGTCCAGTACCCACTGGAGACATGGGATAGATCAACCTGCCTTAGGGCATGTAGTCTAGAGCGAAACATAAAAGGATACACCCAATCAATATCATGTTGGGAACTGTGATTTTGCATGGGCTGATCTGACTTGTGGATAGCTGCGTCATCTTGGAATGAAGATGTTGATGAATTTTCACCAGCCCAGGCAGCTCGGAGTCAGTTCTTTCAAATGCGTTTTCTGTCTGTCCAGACTAAGGGACAAAGGGGCAAAGGGACAACGGGACAAGGGACAAAGGGTTGATTTCTGTCTCGGAACAAAGGACTTTAGCTGACTAGGAAAACACATCCCTCTCAAGGGGTATGTTTATTACTCTGGGTGTCAGTGGAATCATTTTAGACAAAGGGACAAGGACACCCCTCTCAAGCCTCACATCATGCACGCGCGGCTTTTTGCGTCTTGCAGGCTCATCACAACCTGAGCTGATGCAGAAGTTCGCTGGGCCATGGGTCCAGGAACACCAAGCGTGTTGCCCCAGACGGAAATCAGCATCTGCCACAACTGCGCAAACAAATACTGTGGATGGCGAAAATCCTGCACCACTTTGACCCCATGGGAAGCCATTGTTTGTTGTTTCTTGGCTTGTGCAGGATTCTGTCCATCCACAGTATGGGCTCCGACTTCTTGGGCGAAATCGCCCTAGACGAACAAACCAGATTCAAGCGCGCGCGCTTCCAGCCGCGAGAACAAACTGGCGAACTGAAGTGGGCTCGTCTCAAAACGAGGGACCTCGCAACATCGGCTTCAAATGCCTTACCACGAAAACTCGATCCACGTTCCACCTCAACAGGATTGAATCTGCACGAAAGAAAAACAAAAACATCACCCCACCTCAACAGGATTTGAATCTGTAAGTCAAACCATGATACCCCAAAGGACCCCCAAAACGGAAAGAATCTGTACCAAAGGCAAACCATGATACCCCAAAGGACCCCCTTTAAGCAAAGTCGACGGCTCCCTTCGCTTCGGATCCCAGCGCTCGCTTGCTCGATAGTGCCACGGAGCCGGGAGCGCAGCTCCTTGGCGCGGCAGTGGAGGCCCAAGCCCACCAAGAGGCACAGCACGAAGTCCATGACGCAGGCACCTCCGCTCGCTCGAGCCATCGGAGCCGTCCGCTCCAGCCGGCCGAGAGCCGTACCCGACATGTGGGGATTGGATTTTTCCCGGCCCCAAGTTGGTCAAACTTTGAGGACCTCGAGCCGTCCGATGGGATTCCTCCCGGAGGGTTGGTAGCTACAAACACCTCAAGAGAAAATCAAAACACGTGTGTTTCCAAGAGGTCAATTTGCTTGAGGGATTTGGTCAACTGACAAAACCCAACTCGGACGATCCATCCATCTTACCTGAAAGCTTGTAAGTGAGATCTAGCGGGCAATACTTGATTGCTGAAAATGGTGGACTCCTACAAATAAACAAATGGGCTTCGGATTCCTGATGCTTCCCTCTAAAGCGACCCTAACAAGGCACCAGCTCAACAATAACCTGCCTAAGTAGTGGGATGTGTGTTTTTCAGGCAGCAAATACTACAACATGTTGATGATCAAGACTCTGACAGTTGTGCGTTTGTGTGACAATCTGACAGCTCATTCAAGAGAGGGCGGGTAAGCCGGAGGGGTGGGAATCCACTCACACGCAATTTCAGCACTGGCACCCGGACCCCGGTGGGCCTAACATGGGGAGCCTCAAAAGAAGACACACCGCGAAGCAAGGCTTTTGTGACACAAGCACCCTCTCCACTCTCACCGGGCAGTATCGAACAAACCTGAGGGGTCAACATGTCAAGTAAACCCGAAACGGGACGCCACCGAGACGCAGATCATGAACATCCGGGCGGTTGCCCAGAAGCTTCGAACCTGGCACCGACTCGGATCGGAGTGCATGAGCCAAGGGCATTGGGCACTTGGGTCACTTTGAGTTTTGCTGGATCGCCGTGATTCATAGATCACGTTGGCTCTTGCTTAGAATCCCCCTTTGTACCGGTATGAGACCCTGGCTCGGTCATACTATCACAAAGCCAACCTGTTGAATTAAGTGAAGGTGCTGCCGCTTTCGGGAAAAATATGGACACCCTTGCCTTTTGAAC